TCCCCTCCCCTCATTGTTCTTACCCTTCTCCCCTTCCTGGGTGCTTCAGTTCTGTAGTCAGCGGTCAAGGGTTAGTTTTTAGGCTTGTAAGACAGCAGTCTTATCATTCTGTCTACCTCTCGTGCCTCTGAGCTCTGCTTTGCTAGGAAGATCTTGGGTGAGTGTTTTCCTTGGTGAAGTTTCACTTCAGAAAATGGCAGCTCTGTGTTCTAGTGGATGGAGAGTAGCATTTGATCACTCCCTTTGCTTTGTCTCCAAACAAATTCAGCGCTGTCTTAGCTGCGAGCGCCCACTCCACGCCTCAGTATCCATCGCAACGAACTCTTAATGCAATAGCATTTAACTTACTTTCAACTTACTCAACCTGCACTTGCAACTTGCCTTTCCTTAAGGTTACTCAAATTCTCCACATCCAGCACTAACACTACATAAATTTTATTTCAGGTGCAGACTTCTAGAAAGAATTCTGCCCTTTTCGTCTTAACTTTCCTCATTACTGCTAGAAACATTTCAGAGTTCACTTTAACCACCAAAGGTTTCGTGATACAAAAAAGTCAAATTGGGTGAAAGTGTCCTAGTTTCACAAACAAATTTCTGAAGTCTTTGAGTTTTGTTTCTTTCGCTTACTCAATAGTTGTTTGGGGGATTTCCCGGGAGGTCGCGCATTGCACTTCGGGTCTCACTGACCTTGGTGTGTGAGGTAGTAGGAGCCGTGGGTGAGCACTAGAGTGCCAGGATTTTTTCTTGTTTTTGATGCCTCTAACCAAGTCCAGAGCTTCAGGCCGTTTGCGCTGAGGGCATGGTAGCCATTGCACGGGAACTAGATGGAAGCTGCGGCACGGCCTTTCTCCTGACTCCTGAATGTCACTGTGCTTACGGTCTATGGTTTAGCACCACACGGAGGAGGTAATCACGGCATTACTTTGGTTCAAGGACCAAATGCAGAGACATGTTGCGCGAACTCCATTTCCTAAATGCTGCCTGTGGGGCTGTGGCGACTCTGAGTAACACAGCTATAAATGGGTCGTGGTGAGGTGTAAACATCACATGCTCCTCAGCCTGGACTTGAGGTGACACAAGACAGATACTGGCTGTATCACCCCTGTGCCAGCCGAGCTGTGCCTTTCCCACACGTAAACCAGAAGTTGGGCGTTAAGAGTATGTTTTCTGATTTGGGTACACAAGGTATGAAGCTGAGAGTGACTACTTTTGGGCAGGATGCCTCAAATTCCCCATAGTTCTCAAAGTGCAGACCAACAAGACACAGGAGAAGCCTCACAGCTGCTGTCCAGGCAGCAAAGCCACGTGGCCCAACACACTGGCCTTCCAACAACCTCCCGAGCGAGTGCCCTTTACATCATCCGCCGTTTTAGCTCTGGACCCTCCTATTGTTCCCATTTCGAAATTGGAGCTCGGTCCAGGCTTCTGGATTCCTGGATTCTGGTAACGTACGGGCTTTCCGACTACATGGGTGGACATGGAGGGGAATATGCTGAGAGAAGTAAGTCCAAGGGACATGAACGCTGAATGGTTTCACCTATCTATGCAAGACAGCAAAACTGGACGAAGGGGCAGGCAAAACGAAATACAAAACGATCCCTGAAAGTCTGAACTGTAGAATCGAGGCCCCCAGGTGGGGAGGGTAGAAGCAAAGCGGGAAGGGGGCTGGTGGACCATGGTGGAGGACTGTGAGTGCCTTGGTGGTGGGTGCTGTGGTAACATACACATAGACAGGAATGAGCCTAGACTGCTGAATCACAGCACAGAGGTACACTCAAAGAAAACACAGCAAACCCCCCGCCCCCCCTCGCCCCCCGCAAAGCAATCCACACAGGCATCTTGAGAGCACAAGGCCTACAAGACCAAGGATGGACTCTGAGCCTCTGGCCATAAGCAGTGTCCCATGTTGCTGGCCCTGTTGGATTACAGCTGGGGAGGGTGTCTTGTGGAAAAACCACCGTGACGGCTCCTCTGGTCTGTGTGTGGCCTCCTGGCTGGAAGGATCAGGTTTACTTTGTAGATGGAACGAGGTAATTGTAAGATCAGTGGTAGTGTGCCTGGCACACGGTAGGTGCTCAAAACCCACACCATCACTGTTGGCTGTTCTTCTGCCTCCATGTGAAGAACAGGCCGATGGCAGTGCCCAGTCTCCCCCTCTTCAACCAGTTTTCCTTGCTTCCCTGGGCTCACAGGTGCAGTGAGAAAGGGGAAGAGTGCAGGGCCTTGGGGTCAGTGCTGCACGAAGACTTCCACAGTCATTTTCCTAAGTAAGACACCTACATCATGTTGTGATGGTCTGAGCAAAGTGGATAAGGTTTCCTTGTGTTTCCACAGCAGCCTCAATGTCAGAAAGGTCCGCAAGTGAGCCTAGTCATGAGGGGCTCTGGGACTGTCGGTCACCGGAGGTCACTGCCAACAGCTCGGCCTACAGTTCCGGGCCAGCCCCCAATTTCGCCAGGGACAGCTCTGTGTGCTGAGTCCACAAGCAGCCCATCCCAGAATGCGGGCTGCTGATGCTGCTTCACAGTCTGGACTCTTCTCGAAGAGAAATCACACCTCATAGAACGGGCTTCAGTGACAACTTGCTAAGAATCATCACCCCTTCCATGCTGTTCTGAGAAGCCCAAGGAATGTCTCAGCTTCAAGGTCAGCTTGTCATGGGCCTCTCATTTAGCCAGTGAGACTGGCTGTATGTCACCAGGACAGGGACCACAGCATAACATGGCCAGGACGGGGCTGTGACGGGGCCTGGGGCAGATCTGATGGCACGGAGAGGCCCAGCATGTCAAATCAGCATCCCTGCTCGCTGCATCTGTGGCCCTTTCACTCATTTCACCTGCCTCGAAGGTGCAACTCCAACTCCTCTCCTTGTCCCATACCCACTTCTCCAGGGGACCAGCTCAATCCCCGGGCCTCTGCTACATGTCAGGCGCCGTGAGAGGCAATGGGGCGTGAAAGTGAACGGGTATGTTCGACCTTTCCCAAGGTCACAGCCTAGTGGCAGGGCAGCTGTGGTGGGAGAGGAGCTGGAAGAAGCCTACAGGCAAACACGGTGCAGCCCGCTACGGGGGTGGTGGGGTGGGGCTGGGAGACTTTAGTTCAAAGTCATCAGCAAAAAGGGAGAGGCCTGAAGGCTCCCGGGTGTGGTGTGTGAGGGAGGGTGCTCCGACAGGACCGGCACAGTGGGCTGGGTGCTGCTGGGAAGTTGCAGGCAGCAAAATCCATTTTTCCTGGAAGTCCTGTCCTGGGAAGGAGATGGTATGCTTCCTCTAGGTGACTGGCACAGACAGAAAGTTAAGTCATTTTTTTAAAAAATGCTAGAGAAATAGGCAAGTCTCTGCTGACTGCTGTTGACAAGGTTTTCAGTTTCGCAGTCATTAAGGCGGCAAAACTTTCTCTTCTACCTTTCTGTCTGGTTCAAACCTTCCCTGTTACTGCGTGGAAGGAGCCCCACAGTATGAACACTGGGGTTGGAACCCCAGCTTTTCTGCTTGCCAACAGTGAGACTCTGAGCTACTCACTTGGCTTTTCAAACCTCTGTGTGCTTCACTTCAGTGAGTATAACACAAACAGCCTGACAGCAACGCTATGAACACTGACACCATGGGCTTTGCAATGGAAAGGGAGACGCAGGAAAGCAACACTTTCTAGGAGACCTCTGTTGCAGAATTCTGCTTGAACTGGGCCATATGGCTACCCCTGGCCAAAGGAGTATTTGCCCACCAGCCTCTGCCATGGAGGTGGTGGCTGGAGAAAGAGACGGAGAGAGCCAGGCTACAATGTCTGCACAGCAAGGGGGAGGGGACTCTTGTCTGTGGAGTTTTCTTTCTTCAGCCATTGGGAAACAAGGAGCCTTCTCTTTGTTAGAAAAGATTCAGTCCATTCACTTAAATAAGACATACAGGAGGGCCTTCCCTGGTGGCACAGCAGTTAAAGCACAGCACTATGAAGCTATCGCAGCCAACTGCAGCATGAGTTCAATCCCTGGCCAGGGAGGTGACCCACAGGGCAGGACAGGCCTGTCTTGACCTGCCCACTGCTCCACTCAGCACTGTATTTCAGTCCATCTGCCTGTTCTGCTCCCTACTCTGTCTCTGAATCTCACCCCTCCACACACCTCTGCTCTGTACCCCAGTTCTGTATGCATAATTAAATATTAAAAAAACTAGACACACAGGAATGCCACAGAAGAACAATGGACAAAAAATGTGTAAATGATATTCAGTGATCCCTGCTTTACAAGACCTTTGGAAAAGGTCACACTCAATTAGCTATTCCTGCAATAACCAGCCACCCCCAAAGACAGTGTCTTTAAGCAAAATAATTTTTTATTCCGGCTCTTGTGTTTGGGCTCAGCTGATTGGGGCTGGGCTCACTTAACCATCTGCATTAGCTAAGGCTCTGTGCTAGATGGGGCCTCCCTGGGGCTGGTTAGCTGGGTGGCTTGGCCCCACGGGCTTCTCATACTTCTCCTGGCATCAGTATGCTTTGCCTATGGCAATGGCAAGAGAGCAAACCCATGCGTACCCCTGGAAACATGGGCTTAGGCTCAGAACGGGCGTACTAGTGCTTCTACCTTGTTGTGCTGCTGGAACCCAAGTCATGTGGCCAAACCCAGGCAAGGGAGGAATCATATGCCACCTAGAATGGTGGGAAACCAAACAGCTATATGGCAGTGGGGATGGACATAGGAGGGGCGGGAACTGGAGCCATGAATGCACATTTACCATAGCACCAAAGGTCTTGCAAGTTGTAAATCATACGGTGAGCATTACACTTGAATCCCGGAGAAGGAAACCATCTTCATTGACTTTGGAATTACTTCAACCACTAGAGCCAAAGTTGATGGTTACACCTTCTAGTCATTGTCCACTTTACATTCATGGAGTCCAGAGAAGTTTCCACTTGAAATTGAGCCGTACCTAGCATGATTCACAAGTTGTCCCTAAAACTATCTCACAAAAGCTTAACTAATGGTCCCTTTGGTTTCTCTTTTGCAGGCTTGATGTGAAGGATTGAAGAGGAAAAGAATGGATTCAAATGAAAATAATAGCTCACTAAAAATTTTTATATATTTGTATGAAGATTATGAACCTACTGAATGTTGAACGCCTGAGACTAGCAGAAAGATCTGTTTGTACATTTCTGTCTCTTCCTTCTAGTTGGTTTCATTTCTTACTCTAATTGATCCTCATGTTTGGCACCTTGCAGAGCAAATCAGCTCGAGAATTCACCAGTTGGAAGGCTTGCTGTGGAGGAGGGATATGAGTGTGTGGAGACTGAGATGGCAAATATGTATAACAACGGTTTGATGGAATGTTCTCTAAGCTTCTTCCCACACTATTTTGGTCAATATTTGAAATGTATTTTAGTTCTTCACCTTCTAACTTATGTCAATAAACTTTTTATGAGTTCAGATAGATGTTTGAGTAAATGTAAAATGTGAGTCTAGCTTAAATTAATTTTCCTATCTTCAGATAGCTACATGTTCCCCTACATGGAGAGAAATGAGATAGAAAAGCCAGTCACATCTCACAGTGCCCAAATGCAGGCTTCTCATTCTGAATTATTGGGTGCCATGAGCAAAACCAGGGCTGATTAGTTGCAAATAATGTGAAATCTTGCCAGAGAAAGTGGGTGTCACTGATTTTCCTTCTGCAAGGAAGGTCTTCATGGTGAGTGAATTTTACTCCCACAGAGGCTCAGAAATCCCTCCACCCAAACAGAATAGAGTTCATTACAAGACACAATAAAATAAAACCGAGCAATTAGAACCAAAGAGAGGAGCAGACCAGACCATCGCTGCCCAAGGACAGAGGAGACATGTCCCCTCCTGCTAAGATGGAGAGCCTCTAGCAAACTTAATGGCCAACAGGATCATAAACGAAAAGGATTGACCCAGGACCCTCTAGAATCCTCATGCTGCCCAAGGTTCTCCGGGGAACTGCACAATATGAAGATTGGCGGGGCCAGGTTCTCAAGACCACACTGCTTTAGAGGCAAGTGTGTTGCCAACCTGGTAGACAAAAACCCCAACACCATGAATTTTACCTTTGCTTCAGGGCCAGCCATTGAAAGAGAAAACCAGATGTACTTCTAAACATCCCAAGCATAAGGGAGTCGGCTCTGGTGTTTGCTAGAGGTGGTCTCCAAAGGCAGGACCATTGTTGCCCACATGAGACACTGCCTGGTGAGTTTAGGTTTTCCTGAAGGGGGCCTATCTGGTTTGTGAGTCCCAGGCATCTCGGGTTGTGGCTTAGCCTGCTGGTAGAGGCAAAGTTAATAGCGACATATGGGCCAGGAAGAGCAAGCGGAACAAGATGCGTCAGCCCCGTCACCTGTCTGCAGAGCTGATCCCGGACAATATGGGGTTGTGTTGCCCCGAGCCACTGCACCCCTTCCTAATTAGGGTAGTGGGGTTGTTTATGGAATTTACCAGCGCTCCCTTTATTTATATATAAATGATCCCCGTTCAGTTTCAAAATTAAATTCTGGCTTAATGTTTTAAAAACTGCTTTCATTTTGCAATGCAGCCTCCCACGCCAAACTTGCAGTATAATACAGACCAGAATCATTAGATAAATTCACTAGATTTTCTGGTTTTCAGTTTATATATATTTTATCTTGATCAGGTTCAAATTTACAGTATAGGAGATTTAACAAGTTCCAGATTATTATTTGTTGGATAACACATTTAACATAAGACAAAACAGTTTATTTTCAATGAAGTCATGATTTCAAAACTTTACATTTCATCTTAATGGCTTCTTAAAAACCCATATGTCACGTTGAAGCAGCCAACAGTTACTTTACAGGTCTGTAAACAACCAAGCAATATGCAGCTTTACAGGGACAAGGTACAAGCCAGCATGTGAGTGCCGGGAAGGGCACCACTCTTAGATGTTCTGCTGGGGGCAGGGGTGTCTCGGGGCACACAGCACCTGGGTGGGAACACAGCACGTTCACCCAGATAATCACCTTACCAGGGCGCCCCCAGCAGCCCTCTCCCCCACCTCCCCTCCGCGGTGTGGGGCTCCCCACACACCATCTCGAACAAGCCAGGCCCGCAACAATTGTCTCAATCACTCATTTTCTTATGAGCTTTTCAAAGCACAGATCGGAAGGTAATTAGTTTTTCTTCCAAGGTTATTTCCTGAGTAGCTGTATGACACAGTAGAATTTTAAAAGTTAGGCCCAGGGCATGGGGGATGATAATTACCCAAATACATGCTCAATTTTAACTAGAGCAGTTAGAGGGTTTGCAAAAAGCCTCCCGCCATGACTAGCTCCACACAAGAAGCGCAGCCCTTCTGACGGCACCATCTGCGGAAGCCTCCTCTCCCACGTTTTCAGACTGATTTGGAATCAGGGTCTGCTTCCAAGATAAGACAGAAAAAAGCTCAAGGGGGATGACAATGGGGCTCATTTGGGTTTAAGGGCTATAGGGTGATCAATTAAAACTAGTTCCCTTTGAAAAATAGCAGATGGTTTCACTCAGAGCAGGAGCATAGGGGACCAGGGGAGAAAATAATAGTAATAATGAACAACTATATACCAGAGACATTTTACGGGGATGGAGTGGGGAACGGGATCAAAACTGGGGGCGGGGGAAGTGCACTGGACTATGGTGATGGCACACGGGTGATTTGGTGGTGGGAAGCCCACAGGGATGACAACTGAGATGGAAAAAGGCACAAAATGATATAAAAATAAACTATTATATTCTTAAAAAACAAAACGAGTTCCCTTTGAAAGTGTGTGGCATTATCCCATTCCTTGGCAATCTAGCTTGTAATAGAAACTGCATTTAACTTGGTAATTGATGCTCTCTTGGGAATTTAACCTGCTGCTGAATGTCTGTATCACTGTGGCCCACAGCCAGTTCTTTGCTTCAGATAGCATTAAAGACATTTCGGTGCTTTTCTAAAGGAGAGGATATATTGTCCTAACAGTCAGACCAGATCGTGTAGTCAGTCAACAGCCATGCATAGAGCAACTGGCGTGGGAGAATTTGATCTGTCAGCCTGTTGCCGGAGCAAGACCTTCAGAGCTCATACACTGAGTTCAATTTTTTCCCTCTAAGCAAATGATCCTGCACTGAAGGCAAATCACACTGTCAAATATATATATATATATATATATGTGCTGATTATAAAAGGGATTCAGCTGTAAAATAAGATTATAGCCTCACACCATCACCTAAAGGTGTTGTTCAGAAAAAGAAAAACAACTTCAATTAAGCAATCATTTTCAGCTTCGAGGATGCACTTGGCCTCAAATCCTTCAACCCTGTGTTTGCTTATTAAAGGAGAAAAATAACTGCTATAACATTTGACTTCTGTGCAAAATAACTCAGTGGTGAGACCACAAACACATAACAAAGCTTAGTTTTATGACCAGCTCTCCCCAGGGTCAGTCCGGATATATTCAAGATGCAG